TTTTAAGTGGACATTACGTTGCTTGTTGTGATATCAGTTACCGTTTTGATATCAATGAACCGTTCAAGAAACAGTAGAATGCATAAAAAGTAAACGTAAAATTCTGCGTGGGATATTTTTTGGGATAAAAGATCTTTTATGAAATTTCCGAGCCCGAAATGCCACGAAATTAAGCAGTTAAACAAACAATGTTTTTAGTTTTTATTTCAGCTTACAAGCTGTAGTACAGGATAAAGTTGCTTTCTTTTTGGACGAGTTTTTAATGCCCTAAATTGTATTAGCTAAATGTATATATATATAGTATACATAGCTCTAAATATTTCTTATCTAACTAAAAACAGAACGGATTGAAAGCTTTTATCTCAATACTTTTATAGTCGGTCGTTTTGACAGTTGACATCTGTCAGTTTAATAAATAAAAATTATCAGTTGATTAGTGGCATGAATTGAAGCGCGTCAAGTGAAAGCATAGTTTCACACATGTCCTATTTAGCGCGCAACGAGAGCAAAACGAAGCATTCATATCTGTATCAATCGGCTTTGCATTATCTATGCTAATGTTGGCGAATTATTGATTCGGAAGAATATTAGAACAGCATTAATATTGGCGATGTAGGGTGTCTCGCCGCAAGTGCCGGCAACCGTTACCGCATGCATAATGCTAACCGCGCGCTGCCGCTGGCCCACTGACGTAATGACATGCAGACAACTTCCTCAGGCCATGGTCGTGTCTACACAGATAACATTATAAAAAACTTAAGAAACAAACAAACCGGGTCAACGTCAGTAGCTGTACAATACTGAACGCGCCAAATATCGGCGACGCGTGGTGGTGTTTACTAAATATTCGCACATTTAGTTCAAGCAGGTATGTTAACGTTACATCGACGGAGAATGTGGTTCAACGCGCGTTTGTCCCAAATGTTTTTTTTTACACAAATGCCGCAGCACAACACTGTTGCTTTCTAACTTAAACGTTCGATTTACGTCCATTTTATTTATACTGCTGTAATAGAATAAAAAATTATAAAGAATTTACATTCTTATGAAGCTATATAAATATTTTTTGTTCGCATCGCTTTTCTTAACTTTGTTGGGAAAGCGGTTAATTTTAGTTATTTAAATACACATTGTTCATTTATATTTCAAATAACCTTAAATATAGTTAACTTTCAGAGTGTTTGAAATTGGTATGATCTATAATATCTGCTCCGGTACAAATGTACCAAATGACAATCAAAGCCAAAAAGATTTGTAGGCAAACGCCCGTCAGATACGGAGCCTCGTCATCCACGTCATTATTTTTGACAAAACAGAGATAACAATATGTTTTAAACGGAGATTTTAGTATCAGAAAGGCACGGTAAGTACCGAGATGACTAACCTCAGTACGGTACTGCTTAGAATTTTTTATTTCAGAATCCTGTATAGCACCGTAATGTCAAAATTAGACGACAACATCAGGTGAATGTCCTGTCCATTTCGTCGCCTGATGATAAAAAAATCCGAAACTTTAACACCTCATACAGTTGACTGGAATGTTGATTGAAAAACAATTATACGAGATACCAACATGTATAATACATTTCAAAGCGACGCAAAGATTCTGAACATAGCGACATTTCAACTCGATTCATTCTTACAAAGTTTTTTAAATTATTTTGCATTTAAGTACTTCGTCTTTATTAGGTACGTACTGCACTTAAACCAACAGTTTTCTTAATTATTATTATGTTCAGTTTTTAATGTGTTAGGATTTATACAGTTTAAATTCATATTTATAATTTACTTCTGGATACGATTACGCCTTTATCTTAGTAATATTATAAATGCGAATGTTTAGGCTAGATGGATCGATGGATGGACGTTTGTTTGTAGGTATCTCCGGGATGAGTGAACGGATGTCGATAAAATTTGGCATAGATGTATAGCATACTCTGGAAGAACACATAGACTTCTTATTAAGTTTTTTTTTAATTCCGAGCGGACGCACTCGCGGGCGACAGCTATTACTTCATAGAAACTACAAAGGTACATCTATCAATGTACTGATGGGCGAACATTACGCTATGTATCTGTCATCAGGCTTCCGTTGATGCTATTGACTTGTTGAATCTGTACTCTCTACACAATCGGCACATACACATTTGCACAACAAATTATTCTCGTGTAACACAAAGGTTAAACATGACGATTTTTTTGTTTCTAGAACACGAAACATTTTTTATTACTGTCACGCACACTATTAACTGACCTGTAACATATTCTCATTTTGATGCATTTCAAAGTGTCAATAAACGTAGAATATCTCAAACACAAGTCCATTATTTTACTTATGAGAATAAAATATTATAGGACAGTGTTTAAAAATAATTTTACTAAAGTTATCATTCAAAGTTTGTCAATCACCTACAGACGAATATTTTAAAATGTTCGCTTACATTACTAATGCAAATTTTAAAATACATAAAATAATTATCTGTAGGTGATCTTAATAAGAATAAATACGAAAGCCATATAACCTTAATTAGACGCTCACGAGTTGAGACAATTTATATGTTGGACCTCACAATTTAGTTCAACTAATGCGGACTCATTAGAGAAATGCACGATATTTTATCGCACTTTATCAACTGTCTCCAAAAAAAGAACGTTCGATTTGTATTCTTAGGTTTCAGTAATTTTGTTGTTTGATGATAAAATATGGTATATTTGATATAATCAATTGCTGTTCGTTAGTCTCGCTAAAACTCGAGAACGGTTGAACGGATTTATCTTATCTTGGTCTTGAAATGTTCGTGGAGATCTCGGGAAGGTTTAAAAGGTGAGAAAATTCGAACCATTGTGGTGTCTCTGACGGTGTCGACAGTTAGTAATCATATAAAATAATAAATTGAACCAACCTTACACACCCTTCAGTTAGCAATTAAATCGGAAAGACGATGTTGTTTTGTTATCTGTATAAATCATGTGAACTAACATATTCGCCTAAATGGGGACAGCGCATTCCTAAACGGTGCATTGTTTAGAGAAATATACTCAGTTAATTTGATCATAGCATTCACTATGATTGTTAGATTTGTCGTGGAGATATTGTTGGACTTCGATTCCACGACTGTGATAAAGATTACAGATAATGTCTTAGTAGTATCGCCATGTCTTGTCTACGCTGTTGGTGGTCTTAAGGGTAATGAGGTAACCGTTATTTTAGCCCGAAGGTAGCCAATATATAGGATGTTATTGTACGCTAGATACGATAGCTTGTAAGTATTATGATTTAATTGTTTATTTTAAGAAATAATAATTGTAAGATTCTTCAAAATGTTGGTCAAAATAGGTAAAAATTAAAAAATATTTTTATTTCCATTACTTACAACAAAAGTTTAATTTATTAGTCGAAATGATATTTATCCGCAGTTATATGCTGTCGGTAAAATCCCTTATTTTTGGATTCTTTGAACATAGAGCTTACTACCCTACGTACAGTCATTTAGTGGTCTATTAAGCATTCCTTAAGAATTTATTAACATTTCTTACACTAAGCAGCGTCAGATAAAACGAAAAAAAGGAATATGTCATCATTTGTCAACTTTACTGTCGTAGTGTATGGCATGGTTGACAAATGGTCCATAGTAAAATGTGTATTATGAAGTGCGAAAGCGCCGCAGTTAGCAACATTGATAACGCCGCGATGAGCCGTTAGCTTGATGTAATCTGGCAAAACCGCACGCCTCCGTGTCACATTGCCTTGCGGTAAAAAAGCTTTGTTGCGCCTTCTAGATCAACATTGCGTAAACGAGGTGCGTGCGCCACTATCGAGATGCTTTTCAAAGATTTTTTTTATCCACAGTTTCATTGTTCGTCGATCTGCCGTTAATTAACATTATGTTATTGTTAAACGAAGACCTAATTTAATTTAATCTTATATTATTGAACTAAATGAAAATATGTAGGTAAATAAAATAACTTTACTCTTCTTTTTAGAGTACCAGAAACCAACGCAGATGTAAGCATTGTATGTAGAATAGAGATGTGTCAGGGCCGCGCCAAATGGAGGTCTCAGGTCTCTGCTAACCCCTATAGATTACGGTCGTGACTTATATTGTTGTTGACTGACATCAACTGAATTTGTACTTAGTATCAACATGCTATGTGAAGAAAATCCTTTTGGAACTATTGCATCCCGATGTATGTACATATAACAAAATATGAAAATAACGCATTCAAAACTGTTTTGTCGTCGTCAGCATATAGTGACGTGTCCACCGAGGGCTTCGTGATTTACTTTACGTTAAAGCCGTGTAATTAACCCTAATAAAGTTACAATAGCCACGTTGTTTTTCTTAATCTTAAGAACATCGTATAGGAACACCTTACGTGGAAAATTCGGAGATTAAAAAACATTGTTAGAGGGGATCGAACCCAGGACTTATAGCCAAGCTCAGTGATTTACTGTGAGTGCAACTGCGATAATATTATTGTCTCATTATCTTTGAAAACGCAGGGAATACAAATTTTCTATTATACTCATAGATACGAGTGTTTTAGCAATGGAAGCCTACTTTATGTTTGAATCTGCTAAAAAAAACGAAAATCCTTCGTTATTTTCGTATACATCTGTATTTGGATAAAGAAGTGATTTTAATAGCTTCACAAAAAAATAAGAGAATCTATTAAACGCTTTTATTTACAGGCGGAAAAAAACGTTTTACGTATTAATGATTACAAATCAAATTACATATATGTAAAATTAAAACCTATTGTTTTAATTGGTATTACATGAATTTTAACATTTAGCTGTACCTCATTCTCTAAGCTAATAAGGCTATGAAAAATATACCGTTCAAAGAATTGTCATTTCACGTAAAACAAAACATATTTTTACAACGACCGACTTAACATTTTATTTTATTAAAATAAAATGCTATAATTAAATTAATTGATTTAATGAAGGTATTAATGAATCGATTAGTTACTTTGTTATAATTAAATCATCTCACCGTCGTCCGCTTCTATATCATCGATCGGGGACACGGATGCAATTCGGCATAAAAGTCCAATCAGAAATAAATTCAGGCGACCAAACATTATGAGAAAAATTAAATTAAAACCCGATACACTACTAACTTATATAACTTTGTTGTATTTTTTATTTATTATTTTATATAAAAATGTAAATCTTTATTAAGCGTATCACGTAAAATAATTTCGGAACGCGTTCGTGCGGCGTTCGGAAACGTCGCACTTCTATTGCGGTCTTCAAACGACTGACGAACGGTCGTTGTGATAAAGTGCAGCCATGGAGCTTGGGACAGGCTATGCTATTATACGAGCATGCAAACAGTTAGGACTATGATGCAGTCTGCAATAATACATTTTTGAGGCAAATTAAACACTAATTTCTAATTTTAGCATAGGTTTCGCTCCCATGACAAATCCCCGTTAACAAATTGCCCAACAAACCTAAACGAGGTTTTATTTCTAACGAAAATTAGCTCTATCTTACAAATATTATAAATGCGAATGTTTAGATAGATGTATGGATGGATGGATGTTTGTTTGAAGGTGTCCCCGAAACAGCTGCATGAATCTCGCTGAAATTTGGCATACATGTAGGACATAGCCTGGAAGAACACATAGACTACTTATTCAGTTTGTTTAGAACAGTCGCGGGCGATGGCTAGTGTGTTTATGTATTGAAACTTAAAAACTACAGATCCCTTTTTAGGGCGTTTGCAGGAAAGAATGAACGTGAAACTTGACTTCATTAAAGTTAATTTGGATAAGTACATATAGCTTTTCCTAATAAAATAGAAAACCTTTGTATATGAATGATGGTTGAATTTAGAGCAATAGGCGACTATTAGTAAAATTTAAAGGTGTTTTAGCTTTAAGTACACTGTGTCGTGTTATAGATTCGTTGATGAAGAAATGTAGCGATCGCGCATGCGTTGCTGCTTGCGACCCTGCCGCGCATCTCAGTTTAGTACATTTCGCTCTCCCAGACCCAGTACAACATCAAATATGTCGGAAATAAAAGAAGATTTAATAAGTGACAATGATGAATATATCATAGATTTAATACGACGTAAGAAGCTTGCCATTCCAACGCTGCAAGGGTTGCTTACAATCTTCAATATATTTTACTGGGTTCGTATACAAATATTTTAAATGTGCGGAATGTCAATTTCGAAAATGATATTCATTCACGGAACGGTGTTCCACTACCCACAGTATCCCCCGTGATGTATCTACCTACGAACATTTTGGATGAGCGATATATCTAAAATGTTGAGTTTTTATACTAAAAGATTGCAAACGAGAAATCGTCCATCTTGTTTTGTTCCAGGGTAGTGCAAAGTAGCCAACAGAAAACCGGCGCAGAGATGGCTTAGTCCGTCCCTGCATACGCTGATTTTATTTATTTATTTATAAAGTACATCTAAAATTATCACACACTATCAATTGAATAAAAAGTATACACAAAACAGATAATTTTGCCAGCAACAGGTGTACGCAACAATGGCTACCTCTTGCCACATTTTCTTTTGTTGTTTAAGAATAAGTTTTTATAAACCAAAAATACTATTAATGTAATTTTTAATCTTATTAATGCAATTGCAAATCTGTTTATTTACTTATAAGCATTATTCAATTTATTTTCTAAAGGTAAAGATGAAAATAATATAATTTTAATTTATCCTATATCTTTTTTTTTCAGATGGTGGGGTTAGCAATGTTCTGCGGAGGAATGTGGACGTTGTTCGAACTTCACAAGTACGTGGATGTGCCGTCAGATTTTGGCGGAACTGCGCCGTATCTGATGTTCGGCCTTGGGGCATTTACGTTAATCATCACCTCTTTCGCCTTCTCCTGCATCCACAGGAAGCAAACGCTGTTACTTTACATCGTAAGAAAGCTTTATTATATTACATATTGTAATAACAATCACCTGATTATTATTTGTTATAGTCACATCAACGATTTCAGTTTTAACTTTCGTAACTTAAGGTTTCGTGATAAGCAATTCGATTCCAATGTATCGAATCGTATCGAATCCTCTGTTAAGGATGTTATAATATTTTCAGTATTCAGCTTGCTTAGCCTGCGTGCTCATGATAAACATGGGACTGATGATATCGATGGTCTGCTACCGGGAGGCGTTGTGCAATGGTCTTTTCGAGGGACTGACGCGCACCATTCAGAATTACAATCCAGAGACGACCAATATTGACTTTGCTCAATCAACGGTATTGAAACACCTTTAATATTTTTCATATATGTTTTAACGAATGTTTGAATAGTTGTTTGTTAGAAGGTATCTCCAGAAAAGGCTGCATGGATCATGAATTTTTAACTAAAAACTCAGCAAGTACTGTGGAGGTTTATTTTTTTTCTACTGTTTCGAAAGTGAAAACCTACGGTTACAAAATAAGTTTTGACAAACAGTTCCAGTGCTGTGGTGTTACAAATTACACGGACTGGATAAAATCGTCGCCGACGAAGGTGATCCCGACGTCCTGCTGTATCGACCCAACCAACTGCGTCACCGCCAACTACGGCGATGTATACAACAAGGTAACACTTTAATTTTCCATTCTATTGTCAAACACGTTGGGTTATAGCAATTATATTGAACTTATGACATTGCAAAATACGAATCAAAATAAATGACTCATTCGACATTGTTGATGGTATTTCGTATAATTTCAAACTGGACGAATCCGATTTCACAGCCAAGATATGTACTACTAGAATCTTACCGCCATCGCACCTGATTTTGTTAAATAGATGGAACACTTTTGAGTTTGCATTACGTTTCAACATACCACAGTAATCTGATGGTGCAACGGCTTATGATTTCATCCTTATTATTTCTTTCTTGCAGGGTTGTTACGCCTTGATAAGGGAATATATATCGAACAACTTGCCCACTATAATTGCTGTTGCGGGGGGCATGGGCACGTTCCCATTTTTTGGCAGCTTTCTTGCATACTTGCTCGGCCGTCACATCTATGACCTCAAAATGTACGCTAAAGGAAAATATGCAGCATATGTTACCTAATTCTGCATATAGAATAAAAATGTCATTTTTAAACAGTTACTTGTCGCCCTCAAATTAAATTTTCATTGTTAACCTTCTCCTCTAATCGTCTACTTCATGACTGAGTCTCGTTAATTTAATACAAATCTATAGTCTTCTAAACAGTCGTTATCTTTCATTTGTAACTATTTGTATAGTCATATTTTCATCCCTTTCTTTCGCTTTGATAAAACAGAGACAAGAATATGTATCAATAATTTGTGGGCGACGACTACAAATGGATCTATGTAGTTGTTTATCTGTAAAGACATATTTTATATTTCTTTTTTAAATATGGTATTGAGATTTTCAAATATCTTGGCGGCTCGGAACATCGTACGTGTTGCTGCGCGGACCACAATGTTTGGTGTAGCGGGACGTGAAGGGATTCGAGGGGAGAGCACGGCGCAGCACGTTATATCTTGAGCTAATATATTTGAAAACACTTATATATATATATATATATTACTAAATGTTAAACAATTTTAATCTCTAGAACATTTATGTCCTACTCGTAGTTTATAGAATTTTATTGTTATATTGCGTCTGAAGTATAAAACCAGATGTTAATAAAGTGCAAACATATTTCGAGTTTTTCTATTTACATCATCAACCAACTGACAATGGTCACCCACAATCAACAGTAAAAGGATAACAATGTTGGTAAATAAAAAAAAAAGTTATTTTATTAACAAATGATGTTGTCACTTTATTATATAAAAAAATTATTACACTTTCAACATAAAGAAATCTTACAACACAAAATTCCATTGCTTGTCTCGGAAACTATACAAACATATTGGCATCCCTTTTGTTTTCATTAAAAAGACAGAGACAAACAATTAATGGACACAAACATTAAGACTTTATTATAAAGTTTTCGCTAGTCACTATCTGAGCTGTTTTTGTCTGGTTTTGGTTCAACCGGCACTTCTTGCTTATAATGCCTGTATTCTGGTTTCAGTTCCCACATATTTTTATGTGGATTCTTTAAATTATAATTGCATACCTCTTTCAGAATATCCTTTAAGTACACTATTGGTTGTTTGGTTATCTGAAATGTAAACAATTATTGAAACTTGCATATATAGCCATCTCTTTTACTCCCTTTGACAAAATAACTATGTATTAACATATGCCACAGATGACAGTGGAATCCAATCATTAGTTTTTTTTTTTAGTGGATCAGAAAAAGAGTTTTTTATATATTTCTATGTATATTTTCATAAAAAAGTTTGATTAAAATTCAATGAATTCATAATAAAAGATTTTACATTTATCAAAAAAAAAATAACTACACACATCCTACACCTTAATAACTTAGACTGTGTCAAATAATACTTTCATCTGTTTACACAATTTCCTTAAAAACATATAAAAAAATCACATGTTTTACAGCAGTCCCAAAAATTCAACAATAAAGTGGTAATGGATTTTTATTTATAAGTTACATTAACTTCTACATTAAAATTGTAATTTTGGGACATCCTATATATAGAGATATGTATTTTGTATTATTTTAAACTATATTTTTATTATTCACTAAATGGTGAATAATGAATTATGATTCAATAACTGTAATGTGAGAGATTACCTTTTGCAAATCCTTAATATTATAATACTGATGTTTTTCAAAAGCTGCAAACAGCATATTGAGGACAACATCCTTGTCATCACGAGCTTTCTTACCCTCCGCTTTCTTTTTCTCCAGAAAATCAATCTGTAAAAAAAATATTTTTTAATTATGAATGTTGTACATGATTCACATAAAAACTATAAAAGAAAAAGATTTAATCTATATTTAAATTTATAAACAAATACCGCACATAGGTCACTTTCATGGGTTAATAGAAAAAATAAATCATATGTAATTATTAATATATGATGAATACAACACTCACATTATGTTTGTGATCAGAAACTGGCTTAAAGTTCTGCACAATTCTGTCCAGTTGCTGGACTTGCCGTTGTGGCATGGATGCTTTCCGTATTGATTCTGACTTCAGCTTGTAATATGTATTGTCAGCATATGGCCTACATTCCAACTTTTGAACTATTCTACCTTCCATATAAAGTTTTTCAGATTCAGGAACCACAGCATCTGTAGTAGCAGCTAAAAACAAGAACAAGTGAATTATAAAGCTAAAGATTTTTGAATTTAGTTAGATCATGAAAATATTTATGTTGACCATTATACAACTTTTGATAGCATTATAGTAACAGAAACGATTTATCAACATGTTTAATACGACGTAAAAAGAGTTACAAACCAAGTCGCATACTTACGAACAACATGTGAGAAAACACCTAATGATTGATGAGTAACATTGTACACGTCAAGACGATGAACTTTGGGAATGTTTTGTTCACCAGGCTCTTTAAGACAAAGTACTCCTTCCGAAAGATAAAGTTGTACTTGTGTTTTTTGTCCCGGTGCACGCGAAATTTTAAGTTTTCCAACATCAATATTACCAGGAGCTTTCTCCCATTTATTGGCTATGTATTTAGGAACTTTAACAAGCCAGACTCCTCTTCCAGAGTTTGATAAATCCAGCTCCCGATCAATGTGAGGATGAGCATTTGGAGTTGTCATTTTAACGTGATATTATATTATAGCTATTAAAATTCTTTAACTTTGCAACGAAACAAAAAAGTTTGTTTCGGTTAGCAGGCACTACAATACCGTTCTGTCACGTCAATGTCAAAGTCAATTTTAATCCGAAAGTTTTTTTTTAATTTTATGACCTGGTAACATAGTTGACCTGGTCATTGATCCAAAGGTGCTTATGATCATCAAAGAGCAAAAATTGTCATGTGAGCCAGTTATTCATTTAGCTCATTTCAATTTATTGACGACAATTCTTGTAAATCTTGATAAAGAAGCAGAACATTCCAAATTGTGAATTTTCTGAATTCGATTTGGTTAAAATTATTACTTTAAATCAACCATCACTGTCAGAGAAAAAACACCCCAACTCTGACAAAACAGAGAATAATTCACTTCTGTCAATGTTAGTGTCAGTGAGACTGTCATCGTCAGTTTTTCGACTTGGACAGCAATTACTTGAAAAATTGTGCGGTTTTGTGATATATTTCAATTAATCATGTCGGTTTGTGTATTCACGAATACGTAAAACATTATCCATTCGTTTTAATAACCGTTAGTTATTAGTAATGAGTAAAGATGTTTGGCTACAGCAAAGAAGCAGTTAGAGTGAAAGTCAAGGTTTGTATTGTTTCGCTTCATAGCTTATTATTAAACCATGAATTTTACTGAAATCCTTCCTAAATAAAGGGTCAATCTCGGTCTTATGTTGCAGCTTACTTTTCTGTCTGACACTTATTTTTATGCCGTCGATAATCTATTATTCACAGTCTTTTAATTATATGTATGTAATTATTTTAATACAAATGTATACTTAGCATTAATTTACTTTTGGCAGAAATGTGAAGGGAAACTCCAACCTGAATTAAGAAAATTTTCTGTGGATCCACAAATAACTTCATTAGAAGTTTTACAGAGCATTTTAATTAAAGCATTTGATATTAAATCTGATTTTACACTGTCATATAGAACCTTGGATGATTATGGACAAGATATATATTTACCACTTCTTTCTGATTGGGATCTTGATGCTGCTTTTCTCAAGTAAGTTATTTACATCAACAGTTTACATAGACTATTATGTTATGGCATAAAGTAACCTATATACTTTTTTGTCACTTTAATTATAATATAATCTGCTTAAAAAAATTCAACTCACATCAGTCCAAATTATTAGATACATCATATCTTTCTCAATTATTAGGTTGGGTCAAATCCCTGTCATCTTTTTTTAAATTTAGCAGTTTCAAAATTTCCTTGGTTTCCTATTCTGATTGACTACTTGATACTTGAGCATTGCATCAATCACTTTATTTACAGAATGTATAGAGAGTCATCTATTAATTGTTTTTTTTATAAACAGGGCTCATAATATAGCTCAAACCCAGAGATCAGAGCCATGTGTCCAACTTAAAGTTGATATGAAACCATTTGCGGAAGCATCGGAAGATTGGGAGCCTCCTAACATTAGTCCAACATCTATAACACCTCAACCAAACAAAGAACAACCATCAGTTTGTCCACCACCACAGCAAATTGATAAACAAGAATCACAAACTGGATTTCAAGGATTAATTATGAATCAGGTATTTCTACTATTATTAATAAAACATAGTAAGTTTCATAATGAAAACAAATTAAAAAACATGTAGTCATCCTTCGCATTTTATAAAAAAAGAATGTTTCTCATAGGGTGGGCTGACCATGCCAATTGGAAAAAAATCAGTAAGCCAATTGTGGGCCGATTGATAAATATTTAGTAAGCCGATCAGCTTAGTGGGAACCACCTAAAAAAAGATCTTTACACTTGTTTCTCTTGTGAAAACTCACAGTTTCCAAGTGTCTCTAAGTGTTTATATTGACTATGTAAAATTTTATACATATTTACAAAAATGATTATTCAATGATAACACATAATAGATTTTGAAGCTTTTACTAGCTAGTTTATAAATTTCTTTATATAATAAATAGGTAGAAAAAACTTTCAACATTGTATCGAGGGCATTGAATTTGTATGAGGATCCCAACACACCTCCTCGAGCACCACTTAATGACATTGAGTTCAGGTCATTCCTGGATGCGGTGGGTCAAATAACAAACACTTCCAAGTTGAGAGAGGTTATATATTGCGGAGGGATTGAACCGAGCTTGAGGTACTTATTTTATACATATTTAATTAATATACAAAAAGATTCTCTAAATGCTTATGAATTTTGATTTACGGAAACGGAACTTACTTGTTGATAATAAACTATGAACTAAATTATCTTTTTCTTCTAAACTCAGCCTTATGGGAGCGTTGTCTTGGTCCGGCAACGTTTTTCACTAATATCTTATTTGAAAAATTTAGTTTGTTACATTGTTAAATATTTGTCTTGCAAGTAATTAAATCATTGGAGATGAAATTTTCAATTTCAGGAAGGTTGTATGGAAGCATATTTTAAATGTGTATCCTGAAGGTATGACTGGAAGGGAAAGGATGGATTACATTAAAAGAAAAGCCAATGAATATTATGCACTTAGGTCCCGATGGAAAGATTGCATTCAGAGAGGAAAGGTAACATGAAATCTTTTTTCTTTATTGTAATAAAATATATGAATACAATATGATGATGCATATATATTTATTTTAATTGTTTAAATGTAACAATTGTAGGTGGACGCTGACTTAGCTTATGTTACGAGTATGGTGAGAAAAGATGTGTTGCGTACTGACAGACATCACAACTTCTATGCTGGAAGTGATGATAATCAAAATATTGCATCTCTTTTCAACATTTTGACTACGTAAGTTCTTACTAAACAAATACTTTTTTCATTTTTGTTAAAAAAAAACATAATTTCGGTAAGTGATTTGCTGGTGAATATTAGTACTACTTATTTGCCCTACACAATAAAAATCTAGTTATATTATACATTTTACAGGTACGCATTATATCATCCTACTGTGAGCTACTGTCAAGGTATGTCAGACTTAGCATCGCCTTTGTTAGTGACGATGGGAGATGAGGCTCACGCCTACATCTGTCTCTGTGCCCTCATGACCAGGCTCTATCCTAACTTCCTCTTAGATGGAGAAGCGATGACCTTGAAATTCAGTCATTTAACTGAATCATTACAAGTTTACGATCCAGATTTCTATAATTACTTAAAATCTCAACAAGCGGACGATCTGTTATTCTGCTATAGATGGTTACTGCTGGAAATGAAACGAGAATTTGCTTTCGACGATGCTCTTAGAATGCTCGAGGTCCTGTGGGCTTCTTTACCGCAAAAAACGCCGTCATTTGAATTACCTCTTAAAGAAAAAGATTTCAATCCGTCTATAGAGGAGGAAATAAACCCACCACCTTTGAGTCCTATGGTCAAAGCACCTAGAGAAAATGCTTACACCAAAGTTTGTGCGATACGGAGACAGAGCTCTAGCTTCAGCTTAGCAAATATAAAAGCGCCCAAACTAGTGACGATCAAGCAAACGAATCATAGCTTGGATGAAAACGTCACTCGTAAAGTTTTAAACAGCACGTCATTAAAACATGCCAAAGAATTTCAAAGTTTAGACGACGCAGCTCTGCACGCACAAATAGCGCAAAACGAACATCTTGAAAGTATTAAAGATGAAGGTAAAGAGCAAATTTTAAGCAAAGATGCAAAATTGACCGTCAGACGAAATATGTCAAGTGTACCCGAACATGACAAATCCTCGGACAAACAGAACCCAGGAGTTTCGGATTGGTCGAGCGCTGAGAACTTAGTGAACGGCACCTCACATACAGATGTCAAGGAAACTCCGCTGGGAAGTCAAATAAGATTACTACGGGACAAAATATCTATTCATAACAATCGATTCTTTTCATCATTAGACAAACTCGACGATACGACTGTTACGGATGTCCGGTGTACGGATGCAAATAAACCCAAGATTAAGATGATAAAAAATTTGAACGAGTTTCTAAACTTTGCTACGGGAACTAAATCTGGTAACTTGAAACAAGAAAAGCTTCAACGAACACAATCAACCATAGATAGCACAACTTCGAAAGACTGTCCAAGAATTACTTTAACAAAGACGTCTTTTGATGAGAACGATTTAAAGAGTCACAGAAATCACAAAACATCTAAAGCTTTTCAATTGGATACGAACGACGGGAGCAGCCCGGACGACTCCCAAGAATACTATCCCATGACGACGTCCATGACGAGAGAACTGAGACTGGAACTTGAACATTTAGATCGTCAGGTCTTCGGCTCATCGTACGTGAACCGACGAAGTATGATTAGTGACTCTCTGTCAGATTCTACAAGTACCGAAGAGAGACCCACTAACAACTATACCGAACTAAAGTCCGAATGCATCACCGCCTTAGAGATACAAACTGAAAATGTTGAACCGTATGAAACAGCGAAGAAATCGCCATTGTTTGAAACTATTAAATCGAATGCAAGGAGTGCAGAGGATATTTATCTGTGGGAAAATCCTCTTCATAGAAACACGCCTACGACTCGCACAACCGCCAGCTGTCCGCAGACTCCAGATGAACAAGCAGAATTAGATTTCGATGGCGATACTGGGGAAATTTTTGAAGAACATTCCGGTAAAAAATCTGTAACACCAATACGACTACTGCGAAAGAATCATTCCTTAGAAGCTCAGGAAGTATGTCGCGACAATAATAAACATTCCGAAGGACATTCCAGCGAGACAGATTCCTCTGAGAGAGACGGCGTCGAGTCTACAAACACGGGAACGCTGAAGGATAGCGAGAAAGAAACCACGCCTAATTCTAAATCGCATAAATTCTTCTCCAACATGTCACATGAACTGGAAAATGCGAAAAGGAATTGTGAATCGATTTTGATCGCAAAGCAATCCAATTTGCATAGCGTAGCATCGACAATTAATAATTTTCAGAAAAAATATGAAGTGTTCAAGCCGCCAGTTCAGAGGCCGGTCGTGTATTCGGGAAGCGGGGACGGTTCTGCAAAAGTGAGCATCGGCAATCTGCCGTCACCGACTGTATTTGGAGGCGGGAATCCTTTCCTGATGTATCTTTGTCTGACAGTTCTGCTGCAGCACAGG